TGTGCCTCAATAGGTACTGAGGGAAATATGGTAAAGAACAACGTTTCTCAGGTGAGCAATGCGGCCCATAGACCTTTTGTTAGTATATATTCACTCCTAATCAGAGAATTTCCATATTCAGTAATTGCATAATTTGTTTATTTCAAAAATAACTATCATATAACCAACAATTCGCCAGGGTGGCTCAGTGGTGAGAGCGTCTGCTCTAGAGTCGCGAAGTAAGGAGTTGATCCTTATGTCATTGGTTCGAATCCCACTGTGGCACGTGCAGACCGGTCATTTGGATGAGACCGCATAATGCCTCAGTGACATTTCCCGGCCAGTGGCCATATACCGGTGGTAATCGGTGGTAATCCGTTCCTCGTTCCACATTAGCTGCCAAGTAGTTCTTAAAGTATCAGTCACATTATCCATCGATGGGGTAAACAATGGGCAACCAATGCGTTTTTTGATAAAAGTGGTGTGGTTGCTAATCAAAAACGATGTAATCGCCCGAAGTTTATGACATCGCTCATACATTGGTGAACATCGTTCGTACATTGTTTGTACATTAGTCGTACATCAGTCGATTATGAGCCAATGTTTGGTCGAACATCGACCGAGATCAGTCAATGACTGTTGCTCGCCACTCACCCCCGATGACCTGAGATTCAACGGACACTGGACGATGCTCGGCCATACATCGGTCGATCCTTGAAAGATGTCAATGATGGATTGCCGATGAAGAGCGGTGTGAAGCATCGGTGGAGACATCGCTGATTTTTAACTACAACTTATTTCCTACCGATGACCCCACCGATTCGCCAAATGGCCTCATTCACCGTCCGATTACAATAGGTGTCCGGCCGACAACCACGCCATTTTATAAAAAGCACATCTGTTTTGCATCGGATACCCCATCGCTGGATAATGTAACTGATACTCATACCGAGATCCCGTGTCCCAGTAGGTGCTGGCACGAAAAAAACAATTATTGGTCAATGGCCCTGAGAGCCGAGCATAGGACAACATTTCTAGCTCTCCACCGGAAAGTGGTGGCGTCTCCATATGAGTGAAAAAATCTCGAGATTTTTAAACAACATATAATCAATCAATAAATATAACCAACAACCCTCAATACTTTGTGTGACCCCCTCTTGCCTGAATAACAGCCCTGTATCGCCTTGGGAAATGAGTGAACTGAAAGTCCTTCGGAGAATCCGATCTCATGCCTCTAACAGAACAACTTCAAGCTCATGGTATTGCATGGAGTAAGATCCCGTTGTTGAATTTGCCTTGAAAGAACACCCAGAACTTGTTCAATAGGATTGAGGTCTGGTTACTTCGAAGTTCATCTATTCTGTGGATAGTCTCAGCCTCAAGGTACTGGTTCACGATGTTTCCTTTGTGTGACCTGGCGTTATCATCCATCAAAACGAATTCTGTTCTTATTACCACGGTAAATGTTCTCACCATTGACTGAAGAATCACATCTCTATATTTAATACCAGTCATCACCAGTGCTCCATTTCTGATAATGTACAACTCCATGGTCCTCTTAGAAGAAATGCCTCCCCACACCATAAAAGAACCTCCACCAAAGCGATCTTAAACACACAGCGTCACTAAAGCGCTTATTCTTCTGTCTCAACACGCATCACCTTCCAATATCAAAATCCACCCAAAATTTGAATTCGCCTGTAAAAAGTACGGATCTCAAGTAACGGACCTGCTAACTTGCATGATCTCTTGCAAACTCTGCATCTTTACTTTGCGGTCTGCAGTCAAAATTGGGTGAGTGGCAGGTCATCTTGCTTTCAGGTTTGCTTCGTCAAGCCTTTCCCTGTAAGTTTGATTAGGGAAGCCCATGTGTCCTTCTTTAAAGCAATAGTCGATCGCTAGTTAAAGTGATTTTGCGTTGCTTGCAGTACATTCTGGTTATCCTGTCGTCGTACATAGTGGTCTTCCACTCCGAGGCATTTTTGGACTGATCCTGTATCCTGAAATCTCTGCCACATCCGACAAATGACGCTTTGTGACTTATTTATCAATATACCGACTTCTATGACATTCAAGTTTGTAGCATCCCTATGACCCTTCCGGCTTTCTGTACATTATGACATATTCTATGAGGCATCATTTGTAATTCATTTGTGTTTAAATGATATTTAATTGTCATTATTTATTGTCAGCATGAAGTATTGGCAGTAGTTCGTAGCATCACGCTTGCCCGTTTTACTCTACAATGCTGATCGGGTTAAAACGTTAACGTTTGGATTCGAACACGAATACTATCAGGTGAAGTAGACAACATTTGTAGTTTTGGTTGAACATTCACATCATTTTATAATAAATTTCAGAATTATTTTTTTTTAATTAAACTTTATTATGTCCTTATGATACCCTTAACTTTTTTGATGAAAATATACACTGCATATAATATTTTACGTTTCTGTTAGTGGACCAAAAGCCCTTATTAAAGCCCTTACTTAATTGCTTTAATTTTACTTAAATATTAAATTAAATTTCTCTTCTAGTTATTTTGGTTTCAAAAGACAGGAAAATCATACATCATAAATATACATGCACATGTTCTTCTTTAAATTCTTTTCCGTGAAGCGGATATGAGCTTTTTCTCTTCTTTTATATTAGGTCTTATAGTTGCGATTTACAGGTTTGAGTCCGAAGACTGCCCAAACCACTAGTGCTTCTCATCAGATGGTTGCCACAGAATCTATATATTTATAAAAAAAAAAACAAAAACTACAGTTCCTCAAAAGTATCGACAGAATTCATGCGAACTAGTACTGTAAGTGGTACATTATGATATTTTCAAGTCAGATACAATTCAGATATAATTCTGAATGGTTGTTTTTCTATTAGCTTCTTTGAGAAATTTTATTCATTTCTGGAGGCCAATACTTGCCAATTTAATTTAGGCTGCAAATTTAGAACGGTACTTGGTGTCAATGGCTATAGGATCATTATCTTGCCAATCAACATTTCAAACAAAAACGTAAAAGGATTCGAAACCCGGGTGTCAAGAACATCGATTTACTTAGAGACTCAGAAACTAGAGGAAATCCATTTTACTGAAGCCAATGTAAGTAATCAAATGTTTCAGTTTTCAATGCTTTAATCATTTCTGTTATATGTGACTTTATTTCAGGTTTTTATTATATATTATTTCCGTTATATATTATTACGTTATTGAAAAGGTGTGTTCGTAACAGTGTGAATTCACAGGCGGATCCCAAGAGGTGAATCCGATACTTCCGGAACCATGACGTCAGTTATGCGTGCAGCGAACCAATGACAAATTTCATTTTTCTGATTTGGACTGTAGAAATGTAACATCGTATTTTGAGGTTGCGCCACGTGATACTATTGCTTACGATAAATGACAATTATTAAAATTGTACAAACTCTTTGCTATGTACCCAAATAGTTTTAAACCAAGAAAGGTAGAATCTTATTCCTCTATATATTTGTAATTAACAATATCAAATTAAAATTATTCTTTAAAAACATCATATGGCACATTAAGCTTATGAAATGATACATTGTTCCCTCACATTTAAGCCAAGTTTCTTTGTAAAGTGCATAATTTTTAGCAAAACAATATGGTTTGCTTATTTAACTCGTGGTACAGTTGTAACAGACTTTCATGAAAGAAAAAACGTGAAAAAAGTGACAAATGGAGATTTTCCTTAAAAAATCATCAGTCCAGAGTATTTCTTTAATTCAAAAAGTGAACAAAAGAAATCTTTTAAGGAATATTCATCTTATCAATTGGTAGGGTTTTGAAATAAAAAGCAAATTTCTGAAGACTAATCTAACCTTTTCTCACATCATTTCTTCTTTACGTCTTCTGGGAAAAGTCGCCAGTGTAAAACAATGGTTAGAGCATCTGCTCTAGCTAGAGTCGCGAAGTAAAGAGTTGATCCTTACGTCGCGGGGGTTCGAATCCCAATGAAGGACAGGGAGACCGGTCCATCGGATGAGACCGTATAAACCGAAGCCCCGTGTCGCAGTAGGTGCTGGACGAAAAAGATCCCTCCCTGTTCAATGGCCTTGTATGCCGAGTTAACGACAAAATTTGCAGCTCTCCACCGGCACTTGGTGGCATCTTCATATGCGTGAATTTCTCGAGAAGGACTTTAAACAGTTTGCAATCGATCATTCATCTCACTCCTGGAAATGGAAAATAAATTCATAAAAGTCCTCGTCTGCGTTCATGTTCCTTATCTGTCAGTGAAGATCAAAGGTTCCCAGGTTACATGACTATATACATGTACATATAAACATAAAACGCAAAAGTTTTAAGAAATGACACATTAAATTTTATTCGTTTATTAGCGATTTAACATAAGTGTTTTTTTTACAAAAGTTTGGCGATATAACGCCAAAGTATCGCGTTTATTCGAACCCACGAAAACTATCCCAGTGGGACTTTGTGTATGCTTGTACAATTATTTTGAATAAAAAGTTTTGCAACAAAATAGCTCTGCATAATTGCGCGAAAAGTTCCCACGAATAACTTGGTGTGATTTTCAGTGTCTTGTCAAGATATTTAAATGATTGCACGGTTTCATTAAACGTTTAAATTTATCTATGCACAGCATCCAAATTCAAGTTTAAAGAACCGACGTGTCGACCCGGGCTGGAATTATCTTCCGTCGCAGGTGATGGTTATGATAACAAGTCTCGAACAAACTTTGAAACATAAGTATAATTTAATCGGGATAAGTGTAGTCATTGACATTTGTTTTAATTTTAGAAATGTAAGATTAACAACATGAGCAAGGAAACCAAAATTAAAAGAATATTTTTAATTGATACAATAGAAAAATGGTCGAAATGTACTTCGTTTTATTCTATATTCAGTTTTCCATGAAAAAACTAGATAATTGAAAAATAACCTTAAATCACAGTCATTTTAAAAATGTATTCAAACGTATAGTTATTCATTAATTCTTATGCTACTGGTAAAGTCAAATTCTGCCTGGTTACTACACAAAATGTTAGGACTGATTGATCCATTGTATGTCGTTCTACGTCCCATTCAGTGGTTTTTCACCCATATAAAAACCTCACCATACACCGATGAAGGACTTCAGATTTTGACCTTTACTCAGCACTCAGTGAGGGAACTTAATCGTGCCAGAAAATACTGCGACACGGGGCTTCGATCGGTAAAGTCTCCTATGAAGGACCCGCATTTTTTACTTCAAAGTGAAGAGCGTACCAATTTTTCTCGACCTAGGTCAGTCGTAACCGAGATTCGAAGTCTACCGACTGAGCTACCATAACGGTGAAGATATAACTAGGTTAAAATGATTTATGATTCTTCACATCTATATTAAAAACTTTAAAGATTCGTTTCATGTTTAATTTTATATTAATTTATAAAAATGTTATCTTTTACAAAGCAATATGGCAGACTACACTGAAGCTAGCAGCTAATACATGTAACAGCAGCCATTACCCCCGTATAAGATAGCAGCCAATAAGGAAATTCTTCTAAGGACTGAGAGTAATCAGTTGTAATGCTGTTTTAATACTTTATTTTATATAATTAGTGGTTAAAAATTGGATAATTAATGTGAGTTAATTACAAAATATATATGACACTCGGAGGCAGTTACACTCACCTGTATAAGGAAAATTATTTGTTTTTAAACAGAAAAAAAGAAATAAATTACATCTTTACCCACTTTAACAAACATGCAGTAGGTTTACCCACAACTTAAATGTCGATTTCGCCGATATCAATAATATAATGTCGATATCGTAGGTATCGATCCTGATCAGTACTTTGAAATTACAAACACTGGATACAATGTCAAACTAGGTTACCGTTGAATATTATGGACTCGGCAATCATGATTATTTAGCAATCATGATTCGATATCAATACGGTATCGACAAAAGGAAAAACGTAATAATCAGGAAAGGTCATACTAATGAATACTGTACAAAAAAAATACAGCCAGAAGAGCGTTGTCGAACAAAAATTCGATATTCATGCAAGTACAATCTTCGTAAAGAACACGGTACAGCTTCAATACAAATTTGACCCTGTATTTTTCAAAAAATATGATGATCTTAGAAATTAAAATCCATCCTTTCTGTTTCAAAGGAATTCCACGCAGTAAGTATATACAGATTGTTTTTTTTCCTTAAAAGACCACCTGAATACTAATTGTGACGTCATTTACTAGAGCATTTTCCCGTATTTCCTTGCAGAAGACGAAAGGATTTTACACAACATATCTTAAAATTTAAGTGAGCGGCGGTTGCAGACACTGTTTCCATTAGGGAAATACTCCCTGAATTGAGTCATTTTGAGGCTTCTTCTGTTTAAAACTTAATAATGTCAAACTTTAAAGTTTATGACGTTATATTTCCAGAATGGTTTCATTGTTTATCAGATTCATATATTCAACTCGAAATGAAGCCAATTTCATATTTTTTGGCAAAACATTAAATGTTAAGGGCACAATAAAGCCTAAATTGTACCTTTTTTTTTAAGTATTAAAACAAAGACGTACTATATACACAATGACAAGAACTGTTCCGACAATGGCTATCGACATTACATGATAAACTTGATGTCAAAACTTGAAAAAAAAAAATGATAGCATTAAAGCATTTTGCAGACAGCAAATAGTACATGTAGCCTGAATATATGAACAGCCCCTTCCTTTTCTATGCAATGTAAAAATGTGACATTATTCGGGTGAGATAATTGTCCACGTCCAGCCTCAAAGACTCTTAAAACATGAAAAGGCATACTTTCTGTGATCCCTTACCATTGTCCGGTGTTGGTTTGCTATATTACTAGTAGGACTGCAGAGAAAAACCCTCTTGGTGTAACCCCTACTATTCCAAGTTAAAATGTGGGAAATGATAACTCTATACCCCCTCTCTCTCAGCCCGGTAGTGCTTTCATAAACACTTCAAATGTAATTTTCTTGAAAATGAACCTTAAAAAATAAGTTTCTCTCAGAATATTGGTTCTGTCCAGTCCTAAAGATCCTTTGAAAACTGAAAAGGTATACTTCTTTTGATCCCTTATCTTTCCTTGAGTTGGTTAGCTCTGGTGCTGAAAGTTTACCAAAAAAAAAATAAATACTTCAAAAAGCATCTCAACCAAAGCACGAGTCGATGGTACCCCTACAGTCATAATTTTAGATTGGGAAATGAAAGCCTGATTCGCCATCTACATTGCAAAACTAAGTGTATGAAGCATATACACTTTCATAAAAGGCTAATAATAACATATGTTTCACAGTGTATCAAAATTCGATGTAAATATAAACGACAAAATTTCACATAGCCAACCAAGCCTGGGAAAACCTTAGAAATGTGCATGCTCCTAAAGAATCCTCAACCTAACACCAGTGAAAGTTTCTTCTAGTAGCTTATTAAGATGGTCCACTAATGATGCACGAAAAAACCACCAACCACTCTAGGCATAACTTAGTGGTGACACTACAGTCCCACACTGAAGGCGGGAATTGATAGCCCTAAAACCCTCGACCTCGACCTTGTTATTGTTTGGTGGACACTTCAAAGATAAGGAATATAATAGTTGACCTTTAACCTGATTCTTAGTACTGTAAAATCACATATTTTCGAGGGGTCAAATTTTGGTTGCTTGAGGAATGTATTTTGGTTCATGTGGATTAAATTTCGTGGATGAATAACTGTTCAGTAGTAATATATGAAAAAAAATTGCATTTATTGTTGGACATAAATTCGTTGGTCTCTGCATACCTTGAAAACCGCGAAAAAACCATCAAGAAAATTAGTGATTTCACAGTATACAAAGTAAAGAAACAACACAGTTCAGGTTAGCTAACTGGCCCTCTTAAGTCCTCGGGACCCTTCAAAATGTTGCAAAGGGATACACCCCAGGGTCCTTAACATCCCCCCTCCCAGTGATAGTTTGTTCAAGTGGCCAAAAATGGAGGAAAAGTTAATGCTGGATATATGACCCTTGCACTTGGATCCACTTCCGAGTGGTTGTACCACTACAGCCATATTCTGATAAAGGGAAATGTTGCCCCAGGGCCCTTTTACCTTGCCCCAGTACAGACTTGATGGACACTTCAAAGATAAGGGGTATAATAGCTGACCTTTAACCGGAATCTTAATATACAATGTAAAAAAAAACAACAAGCTTCAGGTTAGCTGAAAGAGCTGAAAAGAGATTATCCCTGAAGAACTTAAAATATTCCTAGTGCGTGTTTGTTCAAGTGGTTAAAGATGGTGAAAGTAATTTTTTTTAATTTTTTCTGTTTTAAAAACGAATAAATTTTCTGCCTTTAAGTGTTTGATTTATTATGCAATTAAATGTCGCATTAATTCTCCAATTATAGACCATTTATAATCTTAAATAAAGTATAAAAACAGTATTGTGTCTGAGTACTCTAAGTCTTTGATGAATTTCCTTATTGGCTTTAAAAGCAGGAAGTGTGGCTAAGAGAGTTTATTATTTCGAGTCAGCTCAGTAGTTGAAGAAGTTTATATTATGTTGTAGCCCTGCAGAGATTTTACGTACTCGAAAGAATATGAGAAAGATTAATGTTTGATGATGGGTTTTCTAGCAAATATATTCAGCCTTGAAATTGAAAACTGCCCTGATTCGTGTAGATGTTCGTCATCGGATTTATGTCAGGGAATAGAGGTGTCCTGTTTTTAAAGGGGAATTACTACAATTCCAAACAAATATCCAGCGAATACATGTGAATTGTGAGTATTGGATGTATAATTATTTATTAGATGTATCCAGAAATAATTAAATAAACTCACCATATTGAACTAGATAAAATGTAAGAACAAGTGATAGGATTTTTATGCCACTTCTGACAGAACAATTCCAATAATTTAGGCTTAGTTAGGAAAATAAGTTATAAAATAAGTTACATAAAAAAACTATATACGTCCCCTTTCATTGTTTTTGTTTAAAAACTGAAAACTATGTACCGTGAAATAACTAATTTTCATGGAAGTTTAATTTTCATTGTTTTCGAGTTATGGAGAAACCCACGAATTTATGTCCATCACGAAATGTAAAAGTTTTTATGCATTACTACTAAACATTCTCCAACAACGACATTAAATCCCTACAAACCAATATTTTTTCTTCAAACCTCGAAAATTTGAGCCCATGACAATATGTGATATTACGGTATTTCCATAATTTACCTTTTCTCTTTACGTCTTAAGGATTTCCATCCCTAATGGGACCAAATTCCCTACCCTTAAATGTCCGTCAAGTACATAATACTCTGATATTATATTAAAGTATTTTATAGTGGAAAAGGATTGACCGCGAGAAAGTTTCAAAAATTTCATTAATTAAGCAGTAGTTAATTAACAAAGATTGCATTGAAGTCTATGGGGGAAAAGCTTTTTTTCAAAATAAAAATTCAAATACTTTGAATATCAATAAATCCTGCGGTGGAAAGATGCATCGAAACATTAAAAATAGAATGACAACTGGAAACAATTTTTTTACCGGCTAATTTTTTTTTAATTGATTTGTTTTTCATTAATTAAAGAAAGGGGAGATAACTCTTACCAAAATTCAAGGTCATAAATCAGGACACATCCCACTATACATATCAATAGCAATAAATGGGAAGTATGTCTAAATAAACTGAGTATACAATGCATACATATCTGTTATGTATTCAATTTCATTGAATTTGTTCCTATTAGGGATTGAATACCTTAAGTACTTTGGTTTTAATTTTATATGCTTGTTGTACTGTTTTATACGTATTGTACTATGGTGCAAAATTATTTTTTGTTTTTTGTTTTATTTGATAAGGATTTGAAATTATTGATGTACACGTATTGTAATTCCAATCGTTGATGCATCTATTTAAGAAAAAATATATATCATTTTTAGAATTTCATTGGGATATGACATGAAGTCGGTCATGTGATCCAATTCTATAACGACCGAAGGGCGTTATAGTAGACTTGGTCACATACAGACTTCATGTCATATCCAAATGAAACTCTAGAAAATGATATTTTATTTTTTATATTTAAATTTTTGTTTTTATTCACATTACAAAGACAAAATGCACAATTTACACTTTGTTATTAAAATGCAACCTAACGTATACGACGTCATATGACGTCACAGTCAAGATTTTCCAAATGTCTCGCGCGGTTTGCTTTTCATACGCAAGAAATTCTAATCAGTGACCGACTGCATGTCATTGAAAATTGAATTTCAAATTAATTAGCATTCTCATAAAAGGAAAGATACTGTCAAATGTTGATTTATATTTATTAATGTAATATGTTTACTTTTTCTTCCCATCAAATCACTTAGAAGTTTAAGCGGGACTGGCATATCCAGGATAGAGAAAGAAAGCTTTTCAAATCTGACTTATCTCCAGAGACTGTAAGTATAAACAAATAAAGATATAAAAATCATCAGTAAAAAATTAATTTAATAAAACATGCTTACATTTTTGAAAAAAAGAATTGCTATACAATGTGTATCATGATTTATGTATATTGCAAACTAGATATATTTCACTTCATTTGCTAATCTCCCCATCCCTAATAAAGATCTAACCCTGTCGCAAAATAAAAAGAAAAACTGATATTCAACGACTTATGAACTGTTAATGGCTTTCACGATCTTTAAGTGTCTCCTAAACTGCTTTATACAACATAAATGCTGCACACTTAAATTATTTTTCCTTAGTACTCCAGTACGATAAAAAGACTTATTTGTTACAGTTGACTAGAGCTTTCAACTTCCGCTAGGGTTCCCTGTTATGAACGATAACTCATCGCTGAAACTTGTTTAGAGCAGGTCCGAGGTATATAACCGTTGATACGCAAGGCAGTGTTTAGCATGTGTCTATTTGCTGTCAGTAGAATCCAGTGGTTTTATAATTTAGCACTAATGTTAAAATTATTTACTATACAAAGTAGTTGCGGACACCGTTTAATTACATACAAGTAGAATTTTTAATTAAAATTGAAAGTGAAAGCTACCCTCCTGCTTATTTCTAACCTGATTAAATTTTTGTACTCGGTCGTTCTTCTTCATGCTTAGTAACGTTAACACAAATAAGATTATACTAGTAGGTTGTTGCATTTTCTTGTAAAAAAAAAATATGTATATACTACTAATGCCCGCACCGAAAAAAAACAGCTATTGATGAGATGGCGGGACATGACAGGCAAAACCTATTACGCTACAAGGAGAAAGACAATAGCGGCCGGGTCCCTCTGGTAACCACATACCATCCCGTCCTTAAGAAGCTTAGCGGTATCCTTCAAAAGAACGTACCAATTCTCCATTCAAACAAACGAATGGCAGAAGTCTTTAAGGAACCCCCATTGGCTGCATACAGACGCCCAAGGAACCTAAAGGACATGGTAGTAAGAACCAGACTGGACAACCCATTACCTAACGGGGGCTTTAAAACTTGCTCTGACAGAAGATGTCTTCTTTGTAAGCACAACACTGACACAGACAGTTTTAACAGCCCTGTTACAGGCCGCAGCTACAAAATACTAGGGAATTTGTCCTGTCATACTGACAACTGCATTTATCTCATCAGTTGCAAAGTTTGCTCCAAACAGGAGATTAGTCCTAAAACATTTCAAAATTTATAATAGATAAGAATTCATATGTATAAATATCCCTGCTAAATCATTTTTCTTTGAGTATTTTTATCAAGTATAGTTACGCCATTTTGAGAGAATGAAACAATGTACGATTTACTGATTGTCGTAATTAATTAGCATAATTAATTCGTTCAATTATGTAAATCGCACTTCTCCCGAGTATACCCGATAGACCGGACGTATTTCATAGCGGTCCGGATTTCTTTCTTTGATAGTGTTCTTAAAAATTTCCAATTCAAAATGTAACTGAGTATGTAAATAAATATATATATATATATATATATATTGAAAGCACAAAGAAATTCACTTTTACATGGATACCCACTTCCGCCCCAGCCCGGGGTTGAACTCTCGACCTTCGGAATCTGTCTCCTAGCAGTGCAGGAACAGCGCGCTAGACCGCTCGGCTATCTAGGCAAGTCAAAAAACTTGCTTTCGATGCCGATGGAATTCTCGCGGCGCTGCCCTACACTACACAGTCATTGAGAATAGAAGTTATATACAGTTATTTTGACATTAGTTTTAACAGAGGATTGTTACCAATACATGTTGTAATGAAATTAATTATCATCTATAAAGCACATTTTACAACAACTCTTAAACTAACATAACTGCCCTATGGATAGCCGAGCGGTCTAGCGCGCTGTTCCTGCACTGCTAGGAGACAGATTCCGAAGGTCGAGAGTTCAACCCCGGGCTGGGGCGGAAGTGGGTATCCATGTAAAAGTGAATTTGTGCTTTCTATATTAATATTTCTTCACTTAGGGCACTTATGTTAGTTTAAGAGTTGTTGTAAAATGTGCTTTATATATATATATATATATATATATATATATATATATATATATATATATATATATATATATATATATATATATATATATATATATATATATATATATATATATATATATATAGGAACTGCATACACAAAAAGATGACATTATATTTTCTTCCTCATAACAATCGTCAAAGAGAGTTAAAAATATTACACATAATCTGTTCCCCATTTATCTGATCCTGTTATTTCAGATAGAGTGAAGACATTCTCCTTCTTTTGGTCTACACTTTTGTGTACAAAACAATGAAAGGAACCCTTCTGTGTACATAAGAATACTAATGCTTTAGTAGCCTATATGTCATTTCTATAAATGATAAATCATAAATCGGCACAGTTGGTCATTTTTCACACCTGAGTTACCTGTCCTTGAAACACAACATCGAAGTAGTCAACTACAAATAATTAAACTTTTTAATGATTTAATTAAAAGTATGCATAAGGTATTATCTTATCTGATAATTTCATGTACATATAAACCTATCTATGAAATGTTTTTTTTTACCATAATGATATGTGCAACTTGAAAAATTAGTTGAAAGGCCTAAGTTAACCACTGTAGAATGCTCCCCTTTTTTTTTTTGCAGTTGACCACTATTGAATACTTCTCTATTTTCTTTGCAGTTGACTACTACTGAATACTCTTTTAGCTGCTTTCTGTTGACCACTACTGAATACCGCTCTTTATATCACCCGCTTGAAAAGCGGGAGGGTATAAGGTAATCGGTATGTCCGTCCGTCCGTCCGTCTGTTACTCTTTGGGGTACCCATCTCTTATCCGCACACCCTCTCATACCACTGAGTGAAATTTGATGAAACTTTCACAGAATCTTTATTACATTTTGCCATTGTGCATCTACTATTTTACTTTTTAACCCGACTCATGTTTTGAGTTTTCCATAGCAAAATATGGACACTGCCATTACATTCGTATGGGAGGCGGGGGTATCATTCAGTGAGCTCTTTGCAGTTGACTACTGTTGAATACTCCTGAGGTGACTTTTCTCTGCAGTGGACACTGCTGAATACACTCGAGTTCCTATTTTCTTTGCAGTTGACTACTATTGAATACTTCTGTGCAGCTAACACTCTCCTCTTCTCTCTTTGCGATTGTCAGCTGTCAAATACTCCTCTCAACTCTCAATTTTCATTGCAGTTGCCTATTGTTGAACAATTCTATATTTACTGTGCAATGGACGACCCTTACAGATTAAATTTTTGCGAAAGCTAACAAGTGATATTTAAATGCCTTCCAAAAAGCAAAAGTTATCCTTATTTCCAGTCACCTGTGTCCGAGTTGTATGAAATTTCTTACTTTTCCGACTTGTCCAGTATTAACAAAAACCTAGATTAGGATTATGACGTTATTTTCCATTTTATCATAGATATAGATTTCCCTCAAGGAGGCGTAGTAGTGTATGCACATAACTTCGAGTAATGATGTGTAGTTCTCTCATTAAGATAATGATTGGTAGTGCAAAAGCTAATTCTTCTACGTGTAAAGTTTCCATTTTGAGCAGATAAATAATCAAATTTCTTAACATCATAAATCCATCGAATGAATACATGAAGGGTTTTCATTCTACTCTATATACATAAGGTTGGAAAAAATAAGAATAACTTATTAAATGTGCGTTAAAATGGTAGTTAAGTTCATAACTGCATAGAAACATGGAATAACTTATGTACGAGGGTTGTCCAAAAAGTTTGTGGACGATGACGTTTTTGTCAAAATAAATGGTTCTATATACATCTATTGTATATCAAAATATTTATTATGAAAATCAAGTCAGAATGGTTTAATTTTTATTTATGAAACTTAATATTTTTGTAAAAATCGGGGTCTTTAAAGATCGCAGATTGTGCGCACGGACCAGTCTGACGTTAAGCTAATTTCATTTTAAAAACGTCAACCATTTGGATTTAGACTTAACACATGTTTATGGACACACACTACAATTCATTTTTAAGGCGCAACGCACGTCGAACTGCTGGCAATAATCTTTAAGTATATATTATAATTTATTTAATTTTTAAAATTCAAAACAATGCACAAAAATTTACGATCGACATCTAAATAAATAGTTTGTATACATGTGCACAAACTGCACAGCCCAGTCGGACGCTGCGCTAGATTTATAGGAACGTCATGAATAGAAATCTCCATTTTCAGTAAATTACATGTGTTTTTTAAATTCTTGTAGTGTCTTCGAATTTGTACACATCGTTGAAAAATCGTATATACCAATCTGCAATTGATACACTAAGTATAATTCAATAATTTTGAGTTGTTTTAACAAATATTTTGTCTTTTACGTCGTTTCAACCGTATAAAAACTTTTTTTTTTTACCGGACGCTGACCCGTGCGAACGGCCTACGTCGCTTTTTTTGTCGAGATTTGACACATATTTGTTAGGTTTTTTTTAGTATTTGTACTGTCTATATAGTAAGCGATACTTAAGAAATCATAATATGGTTATAACCTTTTTATTTGTGTTACATAAAATTTGTATAAATTTTTGACTTGTCTTATATAGAAAATAATCATTTTAACACTTTAAATCAGAGTTTATGCCGTTTTAACCTTGGTCCGTGCGCACTATCCGCGACCTTTAAAGAACCCGATTTTCACAAAAATAATACGTTCCATCAATAAAAATTAAATCATTTGTTTTTTCGTAAGAAATATTTTAATATACAACATATTTATATAGAACCATTTATTTTCAAATTGTCCACGAACTTTTTGGACAACCCTCGTGCAGATTTGACATTTTGTCAAGGGACAGCAGGTTGATCAAATAAAACTTGATTGATTTCTAGAGGTTGAATGCTCCATTATTTGACAATAAATTATGTTGCAGCAACTTTTGCAAAATGTCGTCTTTAAATTCTTTTAAACACTTCAATCTAATACTTGTAGCAGCTGCTGATTATAGACTACCCAAGAGCGGCAGTGTCAGTCATTGAAATAAAAGTCTAGTACGATGCATTTAATTTGCATGAAAAAAGTTCGTTGTTTCTAGATTTATTTCCCATGTTTCCGAACTACCAACACAAAGTATAGCATAATTTTTGCTTTTTCCAAAACAAAACATTTCTCATAACCGTTGTAAATATCCTTTCCAGGCCTGGACTGTCACAGTTGCTCAGTCGGTAGAGCGCTCGCTCGGAAGGTTGTGAGTTCGCACCTTGGCTGCTACTGACCAAAGTCGACAAATTGGGTAGCAACTGTTCCTTCGCCATGCGCTCCGTACCTTGTAGTGAATTTTGCGGGCCCTTCGGATGAGACATGGGCATTAAATAAACTAACCAAGTGTATAGTTATGTAGAAAAAGGCTGCATCTTTCAAAATTGCGAATTTCATGGCCCCAGGGTCAGGGGATCTGGTGCTAGGGCGGAGCTATATAGATTATATAGTGAAAATGAATTATTTCTTTGAAAATATGAATTCTTTTCTGTGCCTGGGTATTAAACCAATGAACTATGTACATAGTTATGAGGAGGAAGGATGCTGCTTTGAGATTTGTGAATTTCATGGCCCCAGGGTCAGGGCTTCTTGTGATAGGGCTGGCCTCTAATGTTTATATAATGAAAATGCATGAATAATTTGAGAATTTTCTTTGCTCCTGAGTATTATGCCAGAACTAAGTACATATTTATAATGAAGAAAGCAGCCTCTTCCAAAATGGTTAATTTCCAGGCCCCAAGCTAGGTCAGAGGTATTTGGAAGGGGGGGGGGGTACATAATCTGTATATCAATTAATGCTTTGAAATCTATACTTTGATATTAATCAACAATTAATGATGAAATGAATTTAATGATAAATTTTCCAAAATTTTGAAATATGTGCCCCAGGGTCAGTGGTTCCTGTGGGTTGGGTGCACAAGTGTTTACAAAATAGAAATACATTTTCTGTTTGTATCCTTGATCTACCTCTGGGTATTAAGTAACCAAAGTAAGCATGTTAATTATATAATTATGATAAGCAGTGATGCCTCTTTCAAAATTTTCATGACCTCTGGTTTAAAACACGAATCAAATTCAATTGTTGGAAAGTTGCTACGGGATACTCAGGTGACCTATAAGGCCTATGGGTCTCTTGTCTGAATATATAAGTAAATTTTAATTACTCTGCTAAAATTCAGAAAAATGTCATTACTTTCAAGGAATTCTATTGCTTTAAAAAAAATAAACACCCCTCAAAAAAAAATTATGGGTGCAGAAAGGTCAAATAATTGGCAATAAGAAGTATTCTGCAACTATTTTTGTTGTTGAAATTTTTAATGTGACTAATTAAGATGAAAAAAGACTGGTTGATCCAATAATTCATTTAGATAAAGAATATTTAGGGAAAGGAAACAAATTGAATTACGTAATTACAATACAAAAAAAGTCATATTAATTGCTCCGTGGTGCTTAAAGACCCATTTCATGTACTGATGTTTTTCTTAAGCTTTGTAAGTAGATTCTATAAATATACTAGACAAAAATTCCTCAATACTTTTGATGAACCAAGCTCCTTAAATCCTGATGATGTTTCTATGTAAATTACATGCATATTCTTGACTGGGTTGTAAAAGAACATACAATCAATCAATCCAAGGCCTGAAATTGAGATCATTAAAAAAACTTTGTCTATTCAGATATCAGCTCAGAATAGCCGAAAGAGATTTTTAAAAAAACTCTAAGACTTTTAAAATTCAGATCTACTTTATGCAATTGATTTAAACAATTGGAAAATTAATTCGATCCATTTTTAGCGCAGTACATCTATTTTTCGGTCGGTGGCAATCTCAATATAGTAATATCGCTCTCTGGACGTTCAATCCGTGCAGTTATTCTCAAACAAGCGAACTACAAATCTGTACTTCATTCAGTATTATATTTTAACATGTACCTATATGAATATTTCCTTGTGAATAAAGAAAAAAATATTGTTAACTGGCGAGATCAATGCACTTTTTTAAATCAGCGCTTGGAAACCTTTATACTAAATGTAAAAAAAATGTTTAAAATTTAGGTAAAAAAATGGTTAAATAAGTTTTAAAAGTTCTCATAAGTTTCGATGTAAACTGTTGATTTTGTCCTTTTCTTCACGTAGTGGATTGGCGGGAAATAAAGTATCCTCAAATAACAATCGAGCATTTATTAAATCAACGATGTTAGAGTACATGTAGGTAGAGCTTATGTTTTATTGACACAAGTAAAGACGTCCTTTTAAGAAAATACCGATACAGAAATTTTTTAATGCAGATGAATAAAAAGAAAAACTGCTCAATTATATACGTATAATTATACATTCCAACATTTCAGTTCTTTGGTGAACAACGATCTTGCCTTTATTGACCAAAAAACTTTCTCTGGATTACGAAACCTGAGGTTTCTGTAAGTCTTTTTTTTTTTTTGCAATTTTTGCTTAATATTTACATTTTAAAAAGCTATAATAACAATCAAACACTCAACGGTCCAGTCTTCATAAACAAATCTTCATAAATAAATCATCTTGAAATGGGTGGCCAAAGGGCTTATCTTATCATAATTTACTGCAAAAATTACAGCTCAATAGCGACTGATACGCTGGTAAAAAAAATGTGTAAAATCATCTACACTGACAAACCTTTGTTTGCCTTATATGGTTATTGTTATTAATGCGCACAGAGGATCCTACCGCGAGCAACTGACTAATTGTTGATTGAATACGTTTACGCCAAATACATGTTTACATGTAACTTCGAACACGTGGTTCAGGTCAATCTATGATCATGTCAATGGAGTGCAAAATAAAACAAAAATGTTCTTATGAACAAAATGCAAACATTAGAAACTATCAAAGATATCACGGGGCCATAGGCGATTTTAATTTGTTGTTAACTAGAGAAAAATATATTTTATAAAATGTATACGTAGTTAGTGTCAAGTTCAAACACGACCACTTCAATGGTAAGGAAAACGTGCAACTTCTCGTATGCATTTAAATGGACAAAACATTTTTTACATTACTATACTCGTGATCACGTGTGTTGGCCATGGACTCTACCTAAAACTTGTATTCACCCATAGTACAATAAAGGAATTTATCAAGCGTAAAATTCCTGTAGTATTCGTAGTAACCCATAATGCAATTCTCATTCAGCTGATTTTGTCAGTCAAAGTCACATTGGTGCCTCATTTGCTAATCTGATGCCAAAAAATAAAGTCCGGGTTCCCATGCAAAATATTTGTCCAAACAGAAATTTTAATTCATTACCGCAGAAAATCTGTATCATAGAGAATACTTATGATTTAAACTTGAATGAATTCAAGAGAGATCTATTTAAGTACATTTCTACAGAATGATATTATAGGATGGTGAAAACTAAAACGCAACATAACTAAATTTCTGTTTACCATGTCTCCACGTGCTAGTCACTTCCTAGCCACATTTCCGTGAACAATTTACCCTATCTCGCTGAAGTCTCGCTAACTCTCACCAGAGCCACTGTCAGAGCTACTCTGAACTCATCGGGTTTTATAATTTGCAGAACAACGAAAAAGAAAAGGTTCCGAACACATTAGTAGGGGGTGAATAGGGTATACCCGTCGCATTTGTTACGCCCGACTGCTTTATTGTCACGGGTATCGGCGTGGAATGGCGATCCGTGTTCGCGATGGTTATTTTGCATAACCTTTGTTGACATTTTATTGCAGTTACATTTATCTTTGCTTTTTATATACTGCACTGACCTGTAAAACTATAATTGTAAATTTATTTGGTATCTTACTTACATCAGACGAGATATTACGTTATTATTCTCGCTACCGAGTGCTGTATAGCATACGTCCGTCCACACCGGTGTTGACTGATTACACTGAACATTGACTAAGTCCTGGCCTTTATATAGGGTCTGCATAGTAGCAAGACTCCGGAACAATAATGGTGTACACATTCCTTTTACGAATCGTGTTCAGCTTTAAATTGTATTTTAGACGAACTATGATTTTATTCTACTAGTTGTTATCCACCTTAAACTAATAGCTCCACTTTTAAGGGGGAAATTCTTCAAAATCAAATGATAGTTTTAAATATTTTTTATAAATCCAAAAGGACCTTTACGAAAAGTTGAAATATCAAAATTCAAGCAAAATTAACAACATATAAACTTACAATTTCAACTTTATGTACAATCATTCTAAGGATACATGTACATTAAAGCCCAGCCTTTTTGATAAAATTGACAGCTGCTTTTCAAAAAATAAATTGAACTTGCATGTAAATTTACTTATCTTGGCATTGGTCATTTCAAAAATTATGTTGTTAAAAAGCATTTAAGAAGTTTTTTTTTTTTAAAAAAAGCTCGAGTTTCTGATTGGCAGTATATGTGCGGTTTTTGGTGTCCAAAACCTTATTTGTGAATAAGAAAAAAATACTTGCTGCGCAGCATTCAACTCTACATTAGGATGTATTTTAATCACGTTTTTTCAATTAACAAACGAATTGCGTTCTTATGTCAATACGATGTATCCCCGTGATCTTAAAATAAAAAAATACCACAGAGTCTGACACATATCAGGGTTCTCCATGAGCTGATTTACTGTGCTGCTCCCGACGCAATAAAATTTTCTCCAACACAGTAATGATTCAAATTTTACGCATGCGACATAATAAAGAATTGGCCGACACGTTATAATTTTTGTTATAATTATAAAAACCAAACATACAATTCTCTGTAACTGAAAGTTTAAACAAACAACTCTACCAAAAGGTAGTGCCCTTAATTAGGGCTTCAATTTGCATAATCAATTATCTCCTTCACCCTCGTCAGACTTTACGCATGAAGGAACAGAGATAAATAATTTTTTCACACTTCCATGTGACGGGTAAATGGTAGTTGCATTAAAAATTTTATATTTATTTTTTAAAAAGTATTTAAATAAGTCTTTTCTATAGAGCCACGACTCTAGAATTCTGTTGGCACCGTAAGTCAAACATACATCAAACATAGTAACGAAATCATTTAATTGATGTCAATAAATTGTTATAAATTGTTTTTGTAATTCGGTAATTTGATAAAAAAAAATGACAAAAAATCACCATGACGGCAAACTTTGTTTAAAAAATAAGTAGTGCGACTGTATCGACCAGAATTTCCTCTGCTTTTCAGAACATGTGTTTTTTTTTCTTTTATCAATATGTACGACCATACACTTTATGTAACGAATAAGTGATTTTTAAGAAAGTGTGTGCATGTATTCTTTTGTAATTACATAGTAATTCTAATGCAAATTTGATAGCAAAAATACCGCGAAATTTTATTGCTTCGCGTAAAATCTGCAAAACAGTAAAACTTCAAACGATGGAGAACCCTGACATTTGTCTCATATTTTGATATTTAAAGTTAATCCTGAAATAACAGTCAAGATTTATGATAAATGTGATGACTTTGAACATTTCAATAGTCAACATCTTACCTACGCAGAAATATACATTCATTACCTCATACGAGGTATTATTTCCCCTAGTTGAATCGATTTGCGAGAACATTCTTTACGTATAAAGAATTTCCAAAGCGAGGTAAATGATTGACAAACAAGATGCTGTAACAAGAATATCAGCGGTGTTTAAATACATGAAATAATGTCATAACAATTATTAGTATGAAAAACGTTATTCATCATTTGATTAAATGATATATTGTATTTGCTCATTAGGTTATTGTATCGACCATAGAATTTTAAAAAATGACGACTTTAAATGAAATATTAGATATTCTTGTTTCACCAACTCGTTTGTCTTCAAAAGTTAAAAGCATTTTACGGATTTAAGGACGCAGCATTAACTTAATTATTTACTTAATGGTTTAATCATAGGCTGTTAGCAAAAGGATTTCAATATATACTTTTATACACTTTCTTTTCAATTCTTTTTAAATGAAACAAAATTACATCGACGTAACTCATGTACTGTTTTATAGCGATATATCTATTTTCATCACATGCATACGGAAGCCCGTTAAGGCCAGTTCAGAAAGAGAGAAATATTTTTTATTGCGTTTAATCACAACTAATTAGGAATGTTTCAGTGGTATTAATAGACATCTCAGTTTGGTAGAACACATCGGCCAATCTGTTTTCATTTGATTTATTTTTGATTTCATTTGATTCCATCTGAAAAATTCTCGTGTTCTCGTGTTTATGTATGTGATCAAAGGAAAGGTTGTGAATATACATTATTATACATAATATGTACATGTACATTTACATAAGTCAAAACATTTTATCAGATTTTTCCTTAGGCCTTTATACAGGTACAGGGTTTAAACCTTGTGACCAACGTGGAGTGATAGTTTTTCAATCATTATTTCTTTTCCGGTCTTTTATTTCGAAAATCCTTTAAAATTGTTTGCATAGTTTTAAAGTTTAAAATTAGAGAAAACAATATAGGAAATGTCATTTGTGTTTGTAAGCAATTGACCAAACTTTAACAGGAATATAGATATCTATACATGCTGAAGCTTTGTTTCTTTCTTAGGTTTTCTTTGTTTTAACAGAAAGACAATTCTTTCTTCAGACCTCTTTAAACCCATACCAATGATTTAACCATTCAAAAAATGCTTGTTCAGAAGAATCTGCTTCTATAAAGCTTAACAATACACAATTCTCCTCATAGGTTACTATATATCAGCGTGGGTCCATTGCACTCTTCAAAGATCAATAGAAATGATTGCTTTCAGTCTAATTAATATTAGATCCTTTACGCTCCTTGTATTTTGTTATGTCGCTGTAAGGCGACATAACAAAATACAAGGAGCGTAAAGGATCTAATTTAATTAGATTGGATTGCTTTTAAATACAAAGATTATTGCGTTTTTTGCGATTAAACGCAAAGTGCTTTGCGTTTAAACGCAATGATTATTGCGATTAAACGCAATGTTTTGCGTTTAAACGCAATAATTATTGCGATTAAACGCAATAAAAAATATTTCTTTCTCTGAACTGGCCTCAAAGGGCTTCCGTACATGTAATGCTTGCTGAGATTTATTTTGGCTGTTGAACAAATGAATAACGAAAATTTGTGGGTTGACATTCATTTTTAGAATTATTATGAATTATAACAATAAATATGTACCAGTTTTCCGTATGATTTATAGAATACATTTTTTCTTAAAAATACACATTTATTTAATTTTGTAGGGAAGTGCGTCAAAATCCATTTCACTGTGATTGTTTACTGGAAGGCTTTGTACAATTTATTCAAAAATTTCAACTAAATAATTCCATGGACACACCAAAATGTGCCACGCCAATTAAACGAAAAGGGATGAGGTTAAAAGACATTTCTCCAACAGTTTTGTCCTGTGAAAAATCAAGTATGACTGGTTCTATCTATTATCTCTTGCGGTTAATATCTATGTTTTCATGCAGAATGAAATTTAAAGCGTTTATTATGTTCCCCAAACGAAGTTGGGGAACATATTGTTTTTACTCTGTTTCTTATTATTATTATTATGTCTTTCCACCTTTCTGTGGAAAGACCTATTGATTTCCTTCTGTTTCTTCTTTTCCTTTTTTATTATTTTTCCGCCGTGTGAATTTTTGTTTCAAGATTTATCGAAAAGATTTATAGTCTATAAGAATGTACTCCGTAAAAGATGTTTGCAGTTGACCCTGCGTAAATGAACCTTGACCGCTTTCGAAGTTATTGCCCCTTTCACAAGAAATACTTGTTATCGCTACTCCTCAGAAACCTTAAACTGCAGAGGTATGAACCTTTACGAATGTCTTCGACTAATTATGGGGAATCTTCAATCTATTCATTGCGAAAGTATTCGGTGACCCCTTCAATGAGTTATTGCCCCTGAAACTTTTTGAATTTTAGAAATGATTAAAAAATTTCAAAAAAAGAAGTCATAGAGACATGGGACCAACTGCATAAGATTCATTGACCTTTGACCTTAAAATTCATGTAAAGGTCAAAGGTCAAGGTCATTCCAAAAATGAGAAAATTAGCTTTTTTTTGTATCTCTTTTGTCTTTCAACATATACTTAATGTCAATGCATCATTAATATGTACTCTTAAAACTGTTTCAAAGATTTCATTCTTGTCCCCTAAGATAAAACCTTTTCAAAGTTATTGCCCCTTGTGCAAAAAACCTTGTTATCGCTACTCCTCCGAAACTGTAGACCCTAGCTACACCAAACCTTCACTAATATCTTAAGGGTCTTTAGGCCGAACTTCACTGTATAAGTGCAAAGAATCTGATGACCCCTTATATAAGTTATTGCCCTTTAACTTCTTTATACTTACTGTTAAACCTTGTATCTTGAAAACTATAAATGGTAGAAGCATGGGGTCAATTGCATTGTGACCCTTGACCTTTGACCTTGAATATTTTGTCAAAATCAAAAGTCAAGGTCATTCCAAAAATTAGAAATTAAGCTCTTTTTATATCTCTTTTGTCTTTTAACATATGCAAACAGTATCTGCATCATTAATATGTACTCTTAAAACTCTTTCAAAGATTTCATTTTTGTTCCCCAAGATTGACCCTATTAAAAGTTATTGCCCCTTATGCAAAAAACATTGTTTTCGCTACAACTTCAAAACTGTAGACCGTGGAGGCATGAACTCTTCACTAATGTCTTAAGGGTCTTTAGGCACACCTTCATTGTATAAGTACTAAAGGATTTAATGACCCTTTATATGAGTTTTTGCCCTTTAACTTCTTTGCACTTAATATTTAAACTTATAACTATAGAACTAAAAGTCGTAGAGGCATGGGGTCAATTGCAATGTGACCCTTGACCTTTGACCTTGAAGATCTGATCAAGGTCAAAGGTCAAGGTCATTTCAACTTTTTTTTTTTTGAATTTTCATTTTCTTTTTTTAAGCCATTTCCCTTAAAATTAAATTAGAGAGTAAAATATAAAACTATAAGAAATTTTAAAAGGTGGAAAGACCTCTTATTGTTCGGTGAACAATAAGTCCCCTAGTTTTTCTTCTTCTTCTTCTTCCTGGGTACTTTTTTGTCCAGTAGTGATCTTGTAAACTACACATCCGACTTAGGTAAAACCTTTTTAGGGTCAGTAGGCATGTTACGTAGATTTGCGGAACGAAGGTCACTTTGCGCGCACGTGCTTGCAAGAGCGTGCACGTGCAACACGTGAAATGACCGATTTAAACGATATAGGCGTAACTTTTTACCTTTTTGATGAAATGCTTTGAAACTCATAATGTAAGGATATATTAGTAGCATAGACAATATGACATGGTCAAAATAGCAAGATCTCACGCGCATGCACGTGCGCTTCGCTCTGATTGGCTGAAACTAAAGTCTCAATATCTTTCTTGTTTTTTGACAAAATCCTTTGAAATTTTGAACATAGCCATGCAGTAGGATATCCTACAACATGATATATAGCAATTATCATGAAAACACGTGCATGCACGTGCGCTGCAATCTGATTGGCTGAAACTTTAAACAGCTATTACTCCCTTGGTTTTCAACCAAACAGGTTGGGATTTGGAACATAGATATATATAATGGACTTCTACAAGAAGGTTTGGTCACCATGCACATGCATACACGTGCAAGTACGTGCACTGCAATCTGATTGGCTGAAACTTTAAACAGCTATCACTCCCTTGGTTTTCAACCAAACGGGGTGGGATTTAGAACATAGATAGATGTAATGGACTTTTACAAGAAGGTATGGTCACCATGCTCATGTATGCCCGTGCGTGCACATGAAATGGGTAAAATCAAAAATACACTTGAATGAGCGGTTTTTATTTATACTTTTGGATTAAATACTTTAATATTTAGCATATTAAAATATATAGATTGTGTAGACAATATGATATGGTCATTACGCACACGCATTCACATGCGCAAGTGTGCAATGATAAAATTTAAATGAACATGGTACACTTCTGGGTAAACGTTGTTAAAGTCTCAAATGCATAAAGTTTGTCTTATTTAATTACGCTTACAGGGAATATGACTATAAAAGGGAGTTGGGGAGCGTTTGGGGAACATCTGTAACGGTCCCCGTTACAATTAGCACTAGTTTACATTGTTAAATATTATTTCAATTTTCATCATTTTGATTAAAAACGCTTAAAAAATTAATGACTCTTATCAATTAACCCCAAATTTTGAAAAATGGTATTATATTCAAACATATTTACCTAACATTTTTATGTAAAATATGTTGAAAAGTTTATCGTTAACCTAGAAATATTATGTAATTATTGTAAACCTGTCTGTTTGATTTTAAAGCCGGGTGTCATTGAAATGTTTAATTTTGTACTGGTTTAATAGAAGTAAGGTTTATTTAAAAACTCAAATTCCTTAATGAATTCCAGCTTATATAAAGACTAAAGACCACCATTCACATTTCATATTCAAGGCTCTATCAACTGTACAAATTATAGCAGTGAATGTTCCTACTGAAAATCTCGTGTGTGGTTTTATTAGGCTTTTGATTTTAAATTTAGATGAAATGAAGATTGTTAGACCATGTTCATACATTTTATATTCAGTCAGATCCATGGTTCCGCTTGATTACTACTACTGATGGGAAAATCTCTGATTAAAACATCCGAGAAACAATAGTAAAAATCATACAAAGTACATGTAGATAGAATTTTTATAAAAAGAAACATATAAACAAAATCATTTCTTTCGACTTCCTTCCCAAAATCTTTTGGTTTATATTCTGTGTTCTATCAATTATGAATATGTAATTTTCATATTTTACTACACTCAATTGTTGAAATAAACAGTTTATAATTTTTTTTTTCGGGAAAATAAACATGCAGATATCCATTTTCTTAAAATAACAGTTCCAATCTCTTTTTCCCATTTCTATACAGTAAAGTGTAATTGTATTCATTGCAAACGATCGACTTGAAAAAAAATACAGACAAGTCTTAAGTTTTTAAAAAGTGGGTCAAACTCTAAGGTGAAGGTCAAGAAGTCAAAAATAGTTGATCGTATTGAAAGGTCTTGTCACACGAAATGCACATGTAAACTATGACAGCCCCAGCACCAAATGTTTAATAGTACTGACTATTTGACTATATGACAAGGTTAAAATGTGCTATTCTTTTCTTAAAAATGGGTTAAACGCCAAGTTCAAGGTCTAGAGGTTCGACCTTGATGGTACCTAAAGAAAAGTTTTGCAACAAGGAAAACATCTATAAAATTTTACACCATAACCCCTACAACTCAAAAGGTATGAGCATGGTTAAAGTTTTTGCATACAAACAGACTGACAGACGGACAAGGTAAAAACTATATATCCCCGAATCTTCTTTTACAGGGCATAAAAATTACGATAATTTTAGGAATATTGAATGCATCATTGAGTTGTGGTCAACACCAGAAATTATTATAAACAAGCATTTTAAGAGTATTGCAAGTCGACCTTGCAAGGCAGTGTTACGTTTTGAACGCATTAAATGTTTTGGGAAGCCATAACATAGCTGCATATGATTTGTCAACATAAAACTATCCTGCAAGTTTCAGATCAAAAATGTTTAACATGACAATCTCATTTGGAATATTAATTTATAGCATCACAAATTCGATCGTGAACCCAATTATATAACAAATTAAAAATGCCATGATTCCGCCAAAAATCATAGTATCAGAATTGAATGCAGACATGATCTATAACATTCATATACTTGAAATCAACTCAATGTCTGCAAGTGTTTAGAAAAGAAATACGGAATACCAAGTGGAACAAGCTGACAGAGAGAGGGACAGACGGATACACAGACAGCTAAACGAACGAAACCTATAGGACCCTCCGCCTTCGGCGGTTGGGGACTAATAAAAACCTCTTTTGAATAAAGACATAAAGAAATTGATACGCAAACAAGTAATAAACATAGTAAAGCTACTGGAAGTTCACAATATCTGTGACGTTAGGTTAAAAATATTAACTTCTAAAAAATCAAAGCCTAAACAATGCTTTGATAATTTTTTGAACATTTAAGCCTAGATAATGCATCTACACATATACTTGATAAAAAAAAACCGCGAGAATAAATATTTGAAGAACAAATACTTTCGTGTAATTACCCTTAAATAGCGAATTCAACGTGATTTACAGTATATGGAGTTCTACTGGATCTGACCTTAGTGTATTTGTGTATTTATACCTACAGGTAAACAATGTGGGTTTTTTTTTTAAATCATAAAATAGTAAAATATTATTCCCAATAAGTCAAACTTAGCAGGATTTTCTCTATCAAAGCATACACTTCCAGTTATTTCAATATTACTGATGGTTAAATATAGAATGCAAATTGTAAACATAATATTTTCCTTTTGCAATTTTTTCAGGTGGAGTATTAAAAGAATGATTGTATTTAAACTAACATTTAATGATAAAATATTAAAAAAGGGTATATTAGCAATTTTAAATTTTTGATCAGGTGCAGAAATAATGTAAAAGAAACAACCGATTAACCCAGTTAAGATAAAAGATTTCTCTCTTGACAGGTTTTGTGGTAGGATCACAATACACAGGTCGTTGACAGCGATTTAGTCTTTTCACAAAAGGCATGAGAAATTAAAAATACGTTTGTTTTATTCTTCGTTTCTTTAAAGGGGCATGGAAACAATTTCACCTAAAAAAATTTTACATGTAATTTACTTTTCCATTTTTAAAAATATTTAACTGAGGTCTCTTTAATGGCCATAAAAAAAATTTTGAACTCCATTTGTCGAGATACATAACAGATTTATAGCTCAAAACCTTTTTTATGCCAACAGGTCATGTGTCATGTTTTTGTTTACATAGGTTAGTGACCTAATAAATGTTTGTTTAAAGCTGATAATTTCAACAAGAGGCCCATGGGACACATTGATCACCTTAGAAGCTTTGACCATTCCGTTCTTTACCAGATTCCCCCCTTGTAATACACATTATGACGCCACCCTACCCCACTGCTCATAATTTAGACATTTGATTCCCCATTGTAAAACTTTGATTCCCCATTGTGGCCCCGCCCTACCCCCTGGGGTCATGATTAGAACAATTTAGAATCTACACTACCCCAGGATGCTTCCACATAAGTTTCAGCATTTCTGGCACAGTGGTTCTTGAGTAGAAGATTTTCAAAGATTTTTCCTACATTAATTTCTATGTAATACTTTGATTCCCCATTATGGCCCCGCCCAACCCCCGGGGATCATGATTTGAACAATTTAGAATCTACACTACCCCAGGATGTTTCCACATGAGTTTCAATTTTTCTGGCCCAATGGTTCTTGAAAAGAAGATTTTTAAAAATGTTCCTATATATTTCTATGTGATACTTTGATTCCCCATTGTGGCCCCGCCCAACCCCCGGGGGTCAGGATTTGAACAATTTAGAATCTACTCTACCCCAGGATGCTTCCACATAACTTTTAGCTTTTTTGGTCCAGTGGTTCTTGAGAAGAAGATTTTTAAAGATTTTTCCCATATATTTCTATGTAAAACTTTGATTCCCCATTGTGGCCCCGCCCTACCGCTGGGGGTCATGGTTTGAAGAATTTAGAATCTACGCTACCCCGGGATGCTTTCACATAAGTTTCAGCTTTTCTGGCCCAGTGGTTCTTGAGAAGAAGATTTTTTAATGACCCCACCCTATTTTTGTCTGTTCTTGATTATCTCCCCTTGTGAGGGGACTTGGCTTTTCATTTTAAAAATTTAAATTCCCCTTTACCCAAGGATACTTTGTATTAAGTTTGATCAAAATTGACCCAGTGGTTCTTGAGAAGAAGTCAAAAATGTGAAAAGTTTACAGACGGACAGACGGACAGACAGACGGTCGGACGACAGACAAAATGTGATCAGAAAAGCTCACATGAGCCTTCGGTTCAGGTGAGCTAAAAACGAAGTTTATTCTTAATACGATTAGACAGTTTCTAGTAAATTGCTGAATTTCATGTTGTTATACATACATTTTCTATTTGTAAACAAAACCAAGGCACGAACCTTTTTTACACGAAAATGTACACGTAACGAATATGATCAAAAACCAAGAAAACTAGTTCAGCCTATACATGTACAGTTCTATTCTGTTAGAGCCATTTAGAGATATCTTCGTAAATGGTATGTATATGTTTATGTATTATTGCATTGTACCGGTTTGCAGAGCAGCTATTTATATGATTTTGATTAAGCCAGCTGCGTTCCATTTATAACACATAATGAGTAAAAAAAAAAATAACCCAAACACCTGTACAAGCGTTGATGGTGATAGTCATTTGAAAAGAGTTTCCTAAACATGCTAAAGGTATGTAAACCTTATGTCAATTAATACCCAACACAAAGAAAACAAAATTGAATTGCTTTAATGCGATAAATGAAATTAAATGAATAAAGCTTTCAATTTTTTTTTAGTTTGAACAGACTCTAGGTATAAGAGTTGAAAATTACAACCCACTTCTGGTAAACAACGTTTGAAAAAGCGGCGGCACAATTAAGTTATAACAATGCATTGACGAGTGTAAGTATGGTGAATTCAAATATTAATGATTATCTCTGCTCGATTTTCAGTCTTTCGCCATCCTTCCACCAATCCTTCCATCAATCAATCTATCTATCTATCCTTTCACTCATCCAACTGTCAATCTTTCTATTCTGTCTATTTTTATCATCCTTTGATTTTCATGCCAGCAAACCGTGTCAATTATAACACGAATCAAACTTTTATCTTTTGATGAAATAATTCACTTCCTTAAAATATATTCATAAGAGATTCATACCTCATCCTCCAATTGTGAAATGTATTAAAATATGTACCTTGTTCTGCTTTAGTTTAGGTACACGAGAAAAATGGGAGTTACACAGTTACTGGGTTTACGGCGAAACCAGAGAGACACTGTATAATAAATAAGCATATTCTGAAATAAGAAAACGATTCATGACTGTTAGGCTATTTTCAACTCATTTAAATGGTACACTTTGAAGATAATGTCGATGTTCATTTCTGTATTTTTTTAATTTATTTCTTGCATAGCCTTAAAACTTATAGAGTATCAAATTAAAAGGTTGTATTACAGTAATTAAAGTTATAGTTAAAATAAAACATTCGTAAAACTATTTCTCTTTTAATAAACTTGTGAATGGCTTATTACCCGCAATGTCACATAATAGCGCTTCTTTGTTTACAGGGAGTCTCTATATTAGTAAAAACATTCATGAAAGGGACGTAAAACTGTACACAATCAATCAGGTTTTGTTTCAGGCGAACCTGTATGGTATCCTTTCAATAAAGGAAATGAAAGAAGGTTTCAATTTATGAAACAGGAATGAAACATTTTTCTTTTTTTGCAATTTAACATAATCAGTTTATCAACTGATGATTTTGCAGAAATTTTACTTTTAACTGCTTTGGTATGGCATTAAATAACTTACGGCTATAATATTTTTTTCTTTTAAAACGTTCTATATATATTTAATGACTAATACGTTATAATTTCACTTTATAAATTTCTTAATTGGTAATACATCATTATTTCAAGTAAAAAGGTATATATGCACTAAAAACATTCTAATTTTTAAAGATCTATTTTCAGTGTAAGTATCGATACTTCATTATAAAGTGTTCTGCGGTTTGTTTGTTTTTTTTCAATTTAATTTATAACGTTTGTTATCTACAATAAGTGGTTATTATAAAATAACAAAAAATGAGATTGAAAATACAATCAATGCCAGAATATTATTGTTTTAGTGTAATATTATCTATTATTTTTACTATCAATTATACCATTAATTACAGGCTTGATGACCGTGTAATATTAACGATTTGAAAAAAATAAGTACAATTTAAAGAAAATAATTACATTAATAATCAAAAAATGTTACAGTGTACAGGTGTAAAACATACAATTTACATTCCACTACCTGAAGAGAACTTAATTAAAAATAGTTAATATATAAATATCCTAACTGTTAATCAAATGTGGTTAATCTTCTGTTACTGTAAAAATTTTCCACAATTAATCATATCTAATGAGGGGGATTTTAGTTCTTCATTCGGTATAATGGGTAATTACTAGGTCATTGTAAACATCACGCTCGACAAGTTACTACATTTATCATAACAAAAGTAGTTATATGCCTTTTTGTATAATAACCTGTTTACCATAAAAACACACGATTTATTTAATCAAAATTTAAATAAAATTTATTAAAATAGATATTATTCCATCTGACATTTGATTGAAATTGGGGTTAAATTGTTCATACAATTTTCTTTTAGATACAAGTACCAATGGTTTTATATTTCATATCTTTACGGAAAAAAAATTAATAGTACCTAAGAATCCTCTTTACAATGCTCAACTAAAAGAGTAAAATAAGTTATTTTAATTTCAAATAAATTGAAGTCTACTAAGTATTTTTCCTTTAATAATCAATTTAAGTAATTTTAACAGTTCGAAAGGCAATGATAATAAAGTAACTAAATAGTACTTAATTATATGTATTTTAATTATCCATTGAAGTAAATAAGAGTGGTTTCTGGTTTTTTTTTTATACTTTAAAGTCTTTGAACATTTTTCTTGGGTGTAAATGGCACATTTATTGACAATTATAAATATAAGTTCAAAATGTATACCGATATACAGTATAATTCTATTTATGTTCCAAATGGGGTTCTCACTGGTGTATAGAGGGTCCTTAAGGTATATCGCATAATCTGATTTATGGAAGTTCATGCTTAAAGGTGTTCATTATCTCCTCTAAACCAAGTTATACAAAAATATATGGCAGCTATGAAATTTATTCTTTATTATTCTATTTTCTATCAATCAATCCAATGTAAAAAACAAAATAAGACATGTTTCCTTCACAACACCTACATATTATGCAAAATTTAAATATGACGTTAGAAACCTGATAAATTTTAATATGTTTTATTTCAACTTAGTTTTCACTGTGTATAAAATTTAATTATACATGTATTTTTATTCAGGCAAATGACATGTTACCAACAGAATTTAATTATTGAATCACATCTCAGGTACTGAAAAATACAATATTATGTCATGTATCATTGTATTTGTGTAAAGTTGTTTTAAAATCATTTTATGGTAATATTGGTGTCTAATATACTTTCTTTGTAAAACCTCTTATAAATCAGGAAGACAAATATAAAACCATTGCTTATTAATCATTCAAAGAATCATTCTTATTGAAACAAAGCTATTAAGAGCAGATAGGCGGAGGACTTGCAATTTGCAAGATTTATTTTCCCAAAAGTCAGAACTATTTCTCGAGGTGCAGACGATGGAAATAGTCCTAGTGGAGTGGAAAAATCTCGCTAACTCCCTCATACTTTCTTGCTGTTTTATCATATTGATACCAACGTAAAGAAAGGATTACAGAGAACTGGGAATATCCCTATTGACCAACGCATGTGGATAAATACATTAACATATACCTGTTCAAAAGTAAATTTAGAGGCTAACAGATAAACGGGAATTAATTTCCGAATTGGTCCATTCACAACGATTTCTAGGAATCATCAACATTAGATAATGTAATATTTATATAGGACAAAAATTGGTAGAGATATAATAACTGCTACAAACGAATTTTTTACATTGAATATTCTTTAACCCTAATAATATAGAATCGTGATTGGTTAAATGCACATTACAAGGTGTTTAACTTCTTTTTAATTAGTTGCCATTATTACAACTTATAAATACAGCTACATAATTTGCTGATAACATTTGCTATTTTTAAAAAGCTGAAGGAAATTGCCCAAATGACGGAGGAAGACATTACATACATCTATGTTTACAAAAACATTGGTGTTACACACATGGCTCATAAGTCTTATTTTTATTAATAAAAATAAAAATAGATTATGAATGAAAAAAAAAAACGCAAAATAAAGAAGAGAGCATCATTGCTAAAAGGACTTTGTTGTAAATGTCCATTGTTAATGATTTTTCAGACATCTAGCTAACATGGGCTATTCACTATTCAGTCATATGCGTCATGCATTAAGTTAATTTAAAAAAAATGAAATAGTAAAAATAATAAAATTGATTTTTTTCCAAATCATATCTACAATACAAACAACAAGTCCAAAACATGGAACCTAAGTGGAATCAACAGATTTATTGACTGAGGAGGAGATGACATCCTCTTGATACCGTATATATTTACAGGGTAAAGAAAGTCATCAGTATTTTAATTAGATATAAAACGACTGAAATGAAAATCAACAACATACATTGGAAAAAAACTAAAATAAAAGAATACAAATCATAAAAATGCAGTAGCTAAACCTGCAAATAAAACATCAATGTTCATCCAGAAAAATCAAATTTCATGTACATTGAATAAAAGTAAAGTTTCTTTTCCTTTTCTTTTCTATAGACCGTTTCATGGTAACTGCGGCACTGCTCTTTTGCAAGGCAAAATGATATAGTTTGGTGAAATATGACGTAAAAGTAAATGTTAAAGATGTTTCATTTAATTATCTGTCAACAAAAACTTCGCCAAACGTTATCATTTTGCCCTGCAAAAGTGTATTACCGCAGATGCCGTGAGGGGGCTAATTAGAATTTCCTTTTGATTACTTAAGTAAAGATTTTGTTTGTGTTTGCTTTTTTGTTTATTTTTTATTTACTCAGTTGTTACTTGAAAATGTTTTCCTTATCTTCATTAAATAGTCATTTGTTTTTGTTTGAAATGCAGGAATTAAAAAGTAATGTAGTATAAATGTCTTATGTAGGAACAAAAAATAATATATTTTTTCCTATGCAGCCAACAGACGTTACATAAATACATGTTAATTTTTTATTTAGCTCTAGATGACAATGTTTACTAATGGCGCAAATGTAAACACACAAATTGTCGTCTTTTTAACTGTGGTTGACGACCGATATATCGTCATGTATGCAAATCAGAGGTCCTTGCCTTTCTCTCACTAATACAAGTAAATAATTTTAAGCATTAAACATTTGAATTAATTAATTTCAGTTGCAATAATTAACTGTGATAAGCTTACGTCAGGACATCTTTGGAATTTAAATTCATATTGCACGCTATGTTGATTTTCTAGAATATAAAGGACAGAATCTCAACTGTCGGGCAAACTTGACTTTGCTTTTTGGTAAGACACAGTCGTAACTTTATTGAAGGTGCTGTATTGAAAAATACTGTCAGCTTCATATTTACCATTGGATTACTTTATTATTTGTTTTTATATATCATTGTGTCTTGATAAACAAGAAGATAGCTGTTATGTATTAGAAATCAATTAACATTGGAATATTAATTATTATATTACAGAAAAGTTGGACGTCATGAGTAGCACGAGGAATGCCGTGCTAGTTGGCATTCTTGCCAATTGTGTTGGTAAGTATAATGCATTTCTTTTAATTAATTTTCATCAAGTGGTATAAAAATAATGATTATTGATGCATAAATATTGATACGACGATTTCCGTATAATGTAGCAATTACCAACAACTTATTTTCGAATACTTAACAATTATATAATAGTATACCATATGTGCAATGTGCAAAACATTTTCTCAATTTTGGGTTTTAGCTCTATATTTAATTTACTAGTAGAGGGAAGATTTGACGATCTCGCGTAAGTACGCAAAAAAATGTTCACGTTAACAATGTGCTAAATAATACACAACTTACAATTAGTAGGCTTATTCTTTTTCTGGTCAATTTTCATAATTAAACATGTGCATTCCATCGTATTAAAGATCGAAGAAGTAATTCCTTGTTAGGAACTACTCATTGAATGCTAAAAATAATTAATAAAAGGAATTCAATTAAGTTTGTTTTAAACGTGAATGTTCTAACATTGATGTCATGTTTATGACTTTAAAATAAAAAATAAGGATTTTTTTATCTTTCAATGTAATACTATGAAATCGAAAAATATTTTTCAAAGAAAAAACACGCAAGAAAATATGCTTAATATAGTATTTTAACATATTCTATGCCAATCGTATCGAAAAAAAACCCTCATTTACATTTTGTTTCCTTATACCTTGACTGAATCTGCATGACATGCAATAGATTTAAGGAAGCAGCCCATTATCATCATTCAAAAGTCCTATTTTTGTTCTTATCATAAAACACCTTATCATTCATTCCGTGCACGGCATGTTAAACAATTTGTAAACTAGACACGAAATGAAATTTGCGTGGATGATAATTAACAAAATTTGAAGACTGGGGCAATGGCAAAGTACTGTAGGTCACTAAATTTTCGAGACATCTTATTTTCGCGAGATACTCATTGGTTTTAGATAAGCAATACACAATTTAAACAAATTGTGGTTATTTCTTGAAATAATCCTAAGGAATACTTTCATATGCGAGAATTACATTTTCGCAAGAACACGATTTCGCGTAATTACACGATAATAAAGTTCTCGCGAATAAAAAGTGATTTACAGTTCATTCCATAATTCTTCTAGTAACATACTATAAACATACTTATATTATTTCAGTGACAATATTTGGATATACTACAACACCACCTCCTCCGCCTCCTCCTGTTCAACAACAAAGACGTAATGTTCTAACAAATTTCATGAATCAGGTCCCGAAGACAGAGGTTCCATTTGACATGTCCGGGCCATCTATTTCACAGCTAACTCAAGCTCATTTCGAGCCAATGTTGAAGGTAGCGGGCAAAAACGTGGATCCTGCTGATCCTGCATATAATCAAGTGCATCAAAACCAGCACCCCAACTCTTTGTATGAGCCTGATCCAGCTGCCTCAAATGCCGTTTACCAGAAAGAGATGGCTATGGGAAATATGGTTGATCCACAATATCAGCCTGAAATGAATATGGGACAATTCGAACAAAATGTTGCCGGCCAGCTTCGGGGTGGAAACAATGTTATCGATCCTCAATACCCACCAGAAGTTAATCCAGGAGGAAATGTAATGGAACAACAAGGAACTCCACCCTACCCAGCTCCAAATGCCGTGGAACCACAATACCCACAAGGGATGAATCAGCAATATCCACAAGAACCTCCTATGCAGGCAGGTAACAGCCAAATGAATCAGCAATATCCACAAGAGCCTCCTATGCAGGCAGGTAACAGCCAAATGAATCAACAATATCCACAAGAACCTCCTATGCAGGCAGGTAACAGCCAAATGAATCAGCAATATCCTCAAGAACCTCATATGCAGGCAGGTAACAGCCAAATGAATCAGCAATATCCACAAGAGCCTCCTATGCAGGCAGGTAACAGCCAAATGAATCAGCAATATCCACAAGAGCCTCCTATGCAAGGGAATGGTGGAATTCCAGTGGATCCTACCAACCCACCAGATATTGTTACTCCTGGATATCAACCTGATCCTTTAGGTCAACAGGTTGATATCATCCAGAATGCTCAAGGTGCTAATGTCATGCCTGAGGTTCCAGTTACAATGCAAGAACCACCAAACAATCCTCCGTCAGTCGTTCGTTCAGTAGTTCATTCAGAACCACCAGCTTCACCGTTCCAAGTAAAGCTTAAAGTATCATCGTTTCCACAAGAGCCACCAGTTAATCCTTTCGATCCAACAGGACAACAGCCAACAGACCCAACTTTAATTTCAGAAGTAAATCCTGCTGGCCCAGAAATACGTGGTCCGGCGCCTGCATATCCAGGTACAAATGCAGAACCAGGAATGAGAATACCAAATGCCGTAGGCAGTCTTTCTAGTGGTGGAGCTGTTTCTCCTGCAGTCGGTGGTGCTGTTTCTCCTGCAGTCGGTGGTGCTGGAATCATTGATCCAGTCCCAACTCCTGGACCAGAACCATTACCAGTATCAACAATTCGACCTAAGCCTTTAACAAAAGCTGAAAAGAGGCGACTTAAGAAACTGCAACGTAAACGAGAACGTGAAGCCAGGAAACAGAAAAAATTAGCGGCCAGAAAGGCCAAAAAGCTCAAGGAACAACAAAGACGACTGGCCAAACAAAGGGCAAAGAAACTCAAGGAACAACAGAGACGATTAGCGAGGCAAAAAGGTCAAAAACGTAGCCGTATGAGAAATAATAGGAGATCAAGATCAAGAAATACCCAACCAACCCAAGTGTAACTCTAAAAAAATATACAATGCTTATAAGTTACGGATTTTTAATTTATGGGCATTTTTCTCAGTTCAAGACAATGGTCGCAACAGTTGAAGATTTGCGCCAATTTTAAAATAAAGGCAAGCGATACAAGGAAGGAAATGGAAATCCTGACATGATGGAAATAATCCTTTATTCTAACTAACCCCTTAATGATGATTTGCTTTCGTAGCTGTTTGAAAATATTGTTTATTTCTTCAAAATTTTGAAAAGTTCAGTTACTGTACATGAGATGTTTTCTCCAAGTTTTCTTCAAAAAACCCCTTATTATTCTACATATTGATATTATTCAATGCCCGAACAATATCATCTTCATTAAATATCATGCTCAAATATAACTTTTATATTTAATAATTTATTATATCTATTGACCAGATTTGGTTATATTCAAATTTTCTTTCAGAGAAATATTAAGTTTATGTACAACTTTTTATTGCTATGCAAATGTTACACCAAAATATGGTATATTTTTGTTAAACTAGTAACCAGAAATATTTCTTCAGAAATATTTTCTCTCAAAATCATCATGTCTTATAGATAAATTATAAATAGCATTTTTAAGCTGTACATGTAATATTTTGCACTATGTATTTTTTCTCCGTGCTGTATTTTCCTGTTATGAATTAATGTACTGTTTGTGTTGAATAAATTAATTTATAATTAAGACTAGTCTGCTTGTCATTTTATCACGAAACCATTATGAGGGAATGGAAAGATATGACAGAATAACCTCAAATTAACATATGTCACGTGTTAATCTCATAAAACCTATACACGCCTTAAATTTACAACTACGACTGGCAATTATAATTAATGCATTTATCTGATTCGGAGTGCCTCTGCCATCAACATAAGTCATGCGTCGGTATTTTAATCTCCAAATTATATTTTAAGTTCAAAAAGAAATGTTTTGTTTTCCCCAGAAGGTTCATTCAATCTAAAAACAGAACAGGTGCAATAGAATTAGCCAGGTGCAGTGGAAAATGAAATAAACTGACATAAAAAAAAAACATTTTACACATAAATTCCTTTTGTTCATTATAACTAAGGATATAAATTGTCAATTTAATATTTATAAACACGATTAAATGGACAAAAATACCAAAAAACAGGATCATGAATTTAATATTGACTTCAGCCAAATTTTTATCACCTGCTTTATATCTTTTCTAATTAATCTAAAAAAAATCAATATTGAAACACATATTGATTAATTATATTTGCTTGACTAAAACAACATGAAGTTTAATCAAAGATTTTGACTTAAGCCTAAGATGTTTGATGTTCCCGGGGCCAGGTCTTCAGAATTTTATATATATCATATATACTGGTATTTGGGATAAGAGGATGTTTGTTTTGAATAAAAAGTTAAACGTAACAAAAAAATGAAGAATTTTTCATATGAAAAATATGAAATTAAACGTTATCAAAGTGTTTATATGATTTCAAGATCTCAAAGACTGAGATTTTTTCAGAATTCAAAAGTTTATCAAATGAAAAAAAGTGCATCTGAATATTATTGTAAGTATCCCTTGATCTGGTTTCAGTTTTCACACCTCTGCTGCATTAAATAAACAATGGGACTTAAGTGTATACATTAAATAAACAAAGGAGCTAGCCAGGACTTCACACACTTTCGTATGGTACATCTAAAAAAGATTCATTTTCGCCAATTTTGAATTTCTTTTCGCCACTTCTGAAAAATTCGCTATTGGTGACAATGACACATCCCAGCTCAAACACTGTGGCTATCAATCAGATGACAAGCTATAAAAACAATACACTAAAAATGCCCTTTTTAAGGATTCTGTATATTTTTTTCATTGTTGGAAATTATTAATCAAAATTAGCTCACATTTTTGAAAATCAACTATATATGTGCTGAAATCGTTATTTTGGTGCATCTTTTCCTTCCAAAACACAAGATAATGATAATGCTAAAAAATTTCAGTATATCCAAGAAATAAAATGAGATATTAAATAAACATGTCACCAGACCCTATAATTTTCTATTCAAAAATCTTTCATGCAGGTAGAGATGTTTTCTGTTGTAGGAAAAGTACCATATTTTTTTATTCATTGCGTTAGCACAGCGGTGACTTTTCTTTATGGTATCCACGCATACTGTGTCCTTGCTGTTCAAGGTCTCATCCGAAAAAAATCTCGTGACTTTACTTCATGTGCTGGGCGCTTGCATAGTTAACTTAAGCATTAATGAACTAACTAAACTAGAATATTAAACGTCGTAGGTTTGACAAGGGAGTCAAACATAGACGTCTCAATTACAAAACAAGCTCATTTTAAATCGTCTAATTAAAAGTAATTGCATTCAAAAAAACTATATAATCATGAAATTAAAACCTCACTGTGACGTTCCCTCATCTCATTATCATTAATCTATATTTGAAATACTGTAAATCCCTAAATTTTCCCTAAATTTTCACGACACATTATTTTCGCGAGACAGTGATTGACTCTTTATTAGAGAGACAAAATTTTCACGAATTGTGGTCATTGCTTATAATCTTAATGAATTCTTTTAAACGCCAGAATAAAATTTTCGCGAGCATACCATCTCGCGTAATTACGTGAAAATAAAGTTCTCGCGAATAAAAAGTTATTTATAGTATTTATACCGAATTCCAATAGGTATCAATAAAAGATTATGTCCTGCACAAAAATAGTACGATTTCTTATCAATAACCTTGAACTTAATGGATCAAACCTGGGTCAATGGCATGATAAATCTTCAACCAAAGCATGTTTTATCTGTGTGAAGTGAAATTCTGCACGAAGGGACGCGTACGGGACGCAAATTCAGATTCTTAAATAAGCTTTGGGTCAATGTCATGTCTTAATTTTAGTCTTTTCATCGAGTAGCAGTCGTCACATGTCAGCTTCACAACTTTCTTATCTCACAAGCAAAGGTTGCATAAAGGAAAGGTATTTTCTGAAGTCTGTATATATTATATTGTCTTTCAATGTTATTGAACAGAGAGTGACTGCCATACTTTTTGTATTTAGAGGTATTATTCATGTTATTTTTAAGTACAAATTGTAGATTATCTAATAACATGTGCACATGTTTTAGCTAAGGAATGATGCTAAAAACACTACATTGCATGCATGTATATTTTCGTGATTGTACTCTTTTGCTAAGCTTAATCTGCAAATTCTTGAATAATTAATAAAGTTTTTATGAAAGGCGCGACTCGATATCTTTACGCTTTATATGTAAATAAAGGTCATGTAATATCGAAATGAATAATTTGAAAATGTTCGTACTGTATTAACTAATAGCCATGATTTTTCATCAGACCATCAATGAAATGACAACCTCTTAATATACATGTAATTAACGATACCTTTGGTCCTAATGCAAGTCTTATGAAAAATCTTAATCACATTAGGTAAAATATACTAAATGTTTGCTGCATTTGCACAAAACAAAAAGTATCCCCCTTTGAGAGATGATAAGGATACTTCAGCTCATAGGTATAAAACATCAGTCTTGTTTTACAAACTATCAGAAAAACATGAACTAGCATTAAAGTTTGATTGAAAAAAAAAACGCAATATTTTTTCCGAGTTTTTAAAATATTAATTTCATTATTATCACAAATGTTAAAACTTTCCCTTATCTCAGTTAGTACATACTACACTGAGAGTCATCTAGATAGAGAATTCGGTGCATCAACAATTATAAGAAAACTTTTATTTCTTCTTGGGAATTTCATACAACTTTCCTTGAAAACTACATGTATATACCTTACACAAGACCAAATATTGGCATTTTTAAATAGACTACAAGTAGCAATGCAAAGAAAATATCAAATGTATAATTGACTAAAAAACAATATTATTGTGAAAATGCCTTTTTTACATTTTAGCGAGCACCTTATTCGTTAATGTACACATCACAAAAGCGTGATTTCCCTATTCAGATTGTTTTTGTCCATTATCATTCTTTGAATTATAATTAGGTTTTTGACTGGTAATTAAGTAAATTTCAAGTATTATGATCTGCACTGCACGAAAATCTTATTTCCCTGAGGACCAAGAATCTTGAAATGCCAGACACTGGTAGTTAGTACTTCTTAATTTAAATCAGATAATTATAATAAAAAAATAACTTCATTCCGTGAAAAGAGGCATATCAACAAAGACGAGTCATTTATTCTGCTTAAAAACTGCATATACAGAGAGAAAAAAATGAGGAAAAAAATTACAACAATGAATGCTCAAAAAGACAAAGAACATCTAAAACAGCACTAAAAAACACATTTTATTCCTATGAAATGACAATTCATGTTTGCTAATTGTAAACCGGTGTTCTTATATAATTACTTAGAATATTTAGACTTGTGCAATAGCATTTCATTAAACATGATAATCTTTATTTTTTCTAGAATCTTTTAATACAAAAACAGAGATGACAAATAAAGTTTTCTACTGAAAATCAAACTTGACATTTCTAATCAACATTACTAGAAGTTCCTTTTTTCTATACTTATTGTCCATGTTGTCCTCATCTCATAAAGAATTCTAAAAGTCACAAAACAGCATTGTTCTGCATTTTTATTTGATTCTTTAATACTTTTGATTACAATGAAAATACATGCCAAAACATTTATCTCACAGAAATCTCAAGACTTTGGCACTGAAAGGTAAGATACATAAAGGTTTACATTTAGAATTACATTAATAAAATTTTCAATAATATTTGAATCTTTATAGATCAAGTCCTTTGACTATAATTCTGTTGTTTAAAAAAGGTTACGTACGTGTTACTGAGTATTTAGACATAACACTTAATTAACAACCACCTACAAATTTAATATATTTTACTACTTTTGTCAAGCATCTCTAATTTTTAATCGAAATAAATACTTTCCTATACACTTAAAATTCTTTTTCAGGACGACTCTGTGCCTGTTTAAACTGATAAAAAATACCAAATGGATACGGATTACGTATAAACGCATTGCATTAAAATGTCAAAAACTTATTCATATTTTTAATTATTATATATTTAAATCAAGAACAGTTTCCCGAAATTTTATATATACATTATTTTAAAATACATGCAGAGATAGGGAATATGATTTTAAAAATGCTTAGACTGTCAAATCAGCTCGTCTAAACTGCCGTTTAAGCAATTATTATCATGATTATTTTTTTCTATTTATACATGATCCATATTGCGGCTTTTCGCTTATACACATCATACATTAAAAAAGACAGTCAAATGTTAATTAATGTGTCAAAGGTGGCATCAAATATATTTCTAAGTAGAATTGATATAGACCTTAAACCTGTTTAAGGCCCTTTTAACAGGAATAAACCGGTTCTATGTGTCAAATTTATAGGTTTTTTATTTCCTTCAATCACGTTTAATATAATACATTTAACTTTCAAGATAAGCTATTAAGGTTCCCATTTCTATCAAACCTCTATATTTTTTGGCTTATTTTTCCTTTGTAAAAAGATCCTTTGCAGTAATATGAAATTAAGGTAACGGAACAATTTGAATATAGTTTAATCGAAGATTCAAACTGAAAAAAAAAGCATTAAAATGAATGAATAAGATATTCAATTCATACATTCTTTCATTCACTTTGAAGTAACCGATGTCTTTCTAATCTATCTTTCAAGTAAAAAAAAAAGAACAGGAGTGTGAAAAATTTACGAGATACATATTTTTTAAGGACTTTATAACATTTCAGCCAATATTCTACACTCTGGGATCTGATTCCATTGTCACTTGTTTGTTTTTATTTTTCCCAGATTTATGATAAGAATGAGATATGGAGATAATGTACAATATTTAAGCTCAAAAGTCCATTGACAAAATGAAATTAGGAGCACAGCTACAATGGATTTCTAAACAAATCAGAGTTGGGATGATGAACCATTGAGGAGAACCATCCCCAGTCACACCCGCCATGTGCGTTGCCATTATTGGCACAATTCATTGTGTTGAAAATGGCTAAGCAATTTGTATGAAAAAAATCAGTCATCGAAATGAAATTTTTGGAAACATTATATTTTAATATTCTATTTAATCTTGCACTTTCAAAAATTGAATAACATAGTAAATATGCACTGACAGTGAAGAATTCTGATTTTATTTATTTTCAAGGTTTTTTCTTCATTTTGCGTCCCTTATTGTCTTTAAGTATATTCTGTTGTAAATTCAGAATCCTCAATTTGAAAACTTTTTTTATTTGTAAAAAAATCTTAATAACATACTCAAACAATGAATTACATGATATACTTTTCTACTCCAGAATCTGTAATTCCTTATAAACATAAAGAAAATACATATAGTTATAAAATTAGTTGTTCTGACTCTTTTGAACAAAAATACAAATAGAAAAAAAGAAAGAAAGAAAAATATAACCACATAGAAATGTAACACAAAAAATGTACACATCTTACACAAACACATGAAAAGAAAAACAACTATATTTTTATTGACAAATTCTAAGTATCTTTGTTGTCAAATTTTGCGCAAATAGGTATTGCATCTCAAAGTCAATAGTATTTACTTGGTTTTAGACATATGGACAAGAGGCCTGGGTTTTGCTTGCAGTGATAATTCTGAAGAAAACAATCATCAATAACCAAGGTAAAAAGATATACAGAATTCAAAATAAACTTTTACAGATTTCAAGTCAGCACACCCTTGATTACAAACTTTGGATATAAAAACACAAACACATGCTCAAATTTCATACTGTCATTTGTTCAACATTCACTCTCACATGTGAAAAGTACTCTACAATGTTACATTTATGTACGATCAAATGGACGCAATTTATGAAGGTGTCTTTTTCTTAATGTGATTTAAGATTTGTATGTCAGCTTTTCTTATAACTGTGTTCTTTAATGTGTGTTTTCAGCGCTGGGATTGTCTTCATCTCTTTTTTGCATACATGGCACCTAAAAATAATTCAAATATACTAAAAGCATGAAAATTATATATGGTGAAGCCGATTTTTGTTCTTTTTCAATAGTGGTATACTTCCCAAATCTTTCCTAGCATACTATATCAATTTTTTTAAAAACCCTCTGAATGAAATACGCTTTCAGTTCATAGAAAGTGAAACAAGAGGCCCAAGGGCCTTGAATCGCTCTTCTGATAAATTGTACATCCTATCACTTGTATTCGAAGCCTCTAACCCTAAGTATCCTAAGACCAAAGTTGCATCACCTGACAAAGTTTGAAGATTCTAAGCCAATTAGGACTACTTCTTGGTCTACATTCTTGGAAAACCCAAAATGCATCAACTGACAGTTTGATTATTCTAAGCCAATAAATACCTAAGATACTTAAATATAGCTATAAAATGTCGAAAATAGGTCACTGTGACCTACTTTTTTGTCGACATTCTCCCAAAACCCAAGATGCATCAACTGACAAAGATTGATGATTCTAAGCCAATAAGTACCGGAGATACTTAAATATAGCCATAAAATGTCAAAAGTAGGTCACCGTGACCTACATTTTAGTCAAAATTTTTCAGAGTCCCAAGATGCATCTGCTGACTAAGTTTGATAATTCTAAGCCAATAAATACCTGAGATATTCAAAAGTAGGTCATCGTGACCTACTTTTTGGTCGATATTCTCTGAAAACCCAAGATGCATCAAACTGACAAAGTATGATGATTCTAAACCGATAAGTACTGGAGATACTTAATTATAGCCATAAAATGTCGAAAGTAGGTCACTGTGACCTACTTTTTGGTCGTCACTCTCCGAAAACCCAAGATGCATCAACTGACAAAGTTTGATGATTCTAAGCCAATAAGTACTGGAGATACTTAAATATAGCCATAAAATGTCAAAAGTAGGTCACCGTGACCTACATTTTAGTCAACACTTTTTAGAGTCCCAATATGTATCTGCTGACTAAGTTTGATAATTCTAAGCCAATAAATACCTGAGATATTCAAAAGTAGGTCATCGTGACCTACTTTTTGGTCGACATTCTCTGAAAACCCAAGATGCATCAACTGACAAAGTATGATGATTCTAAACCAATAAGTACTGGAGATACTTAAATATAGCCATAAAATGTCGAAAGTAGGTCACAGTGACCTAATTTTTGGTCGTCACTCTCCGAAACCCAAGATGCATTAACTCACAAAGTTTGATGATTCTAAGCCAATAAATACCTAAGATACATAAATATAGCCATAAAATGCTAAAAGTAGGTCACCGTGACCTACTTTTTGGTCGATATTCTCCGAAAACCCAAGATGCATCAACTGACAAAGTATGATGATTCTAAGCCAATAAGTACCGGAGATACTTAAATATAGCCATAAAATGTCGAAAGTAGGTCACCGTGACCTAATTTTTGGTCGTCACTCTCCAAAACCCAAGATGCATCAACTCACAAAGTTTGATGATTCTAAGCCAATAAATACCTAAGATACTTAAATATAGCCATAAAATGTCGAAAGTAGGTCACCGTGACCTACATTTTGTTCAACATTTTTCAGAGTCCCAAGATGCATCTCCTGACCAAGTTTGATGATTTTTGGTCTGAAGGTAATCAAAATATGCCTTTTAAACAATTTGAAAACATATGCCTGCAAAATTCTAAAAGTAGGTCACAGTGACCTACTTTTTCTAACATACGTTTTATGGTCCGAAGATGCAGCAACTTACAAGATTTGATGATTCTAACCCTTTCAGTGCCTGAAATAATTGGATTAAATGTTTTAAAAAGGATAAGTCATAAAGTTCAAAAAGTAGGTCACGGTGACCTACTTTTAAGTTGACGTTGTTTAAGGACCCAAGATGCATCATCTGACTAAGTTTGGTGATCATAGGCCTTAAAGTGTCCAAAATATGTCTTCAAATCAATTTGAAAACAAATGCCTGCAAAATTAAAAAAGTAGGTCACCGTGACCTACTTTTGAGTTAACATGATGTGAAGTCCTAAGATGCATCAACTTAGAAGATTTGATGATCCTAGTCCTTATAGTAAGCAAAATATAAACATTTTTATTAATTGTAAATTTAGGTCAACTTTAAAGTGACCTTGAGACCACGCCCTTTGCCCCAGGGTCATGCCTTGAACAATTTTTAATCTTCAACATATCCTGATCCTTGTATGTAAGTTTGGTGAAAATCTGCCTGGTGGTTCTGGAGAAGAAGATTTTTTAGCAACTAGTACTTTTGGTTTTGTTTTCCTAATTATCTCCCCTTGTTTTAGGGTACCGACCCTTATTTTAATACAAATGGTAGCCCTTGGGCCAAGGATACCCTGTGACAAATTTGGTACTGATTGGCCAAAGGGTTCTTGAGTTATGGCCCATATTCTAAAAAGTTAACGCACACCGCACAACGCACAAATGGCCATAGCATTAGCTCTTTGAGCCTTTGGCTCAGAAGAGCTAAAAAGAGAGTACACTGTTTAAGTATTTAATATTAGATAGGAAAGCTTTTCTTATATGTGTTCAATAAGGGATTTTTCTTGATTCACTGATAGAAAAATTATGAAAAAATAATTAATGAAAGAAAACACAGATTATAATTAATAAATAAAATGGTTTTTCGTCTTCAAAAACATATTCATTTTAAGCAATCAAATTTAATTGAATTTTTCAATTTTAGAACGTAAATTATGTGAGGCAACTTGATTAAATATTTCCTTTTGATAAGGACTAGAAAACAAGAGGCCCATGGGCCACATCGCTCACCTGAGAAGCTTTGACCATTCTGTTCTTTATCAGATTCCCCCTATAAATACATATTGCGACCTCACCCTACCCTACTGATCATAATTTAGACATTTTGAAATCTACACTACCACAGGATGCTTCCATGTGCACATAAGTTTCATCTTTTCTGGCCTAGTGGTTCTTGAGAAGAAGATTTTCATATATATTTCTATGTAAAACTTTGATTCCCCGTTGTGGCCCCGCCCTACCCCCGGGGGTCATGATTTGAACTATTTAGAATCTACACTACCCCAGGATGCTTCCACATAAGTTTCATATTTTCTGGCCCAGTGGTTCTTGAGAGGAAGATTTTCAAAGATTTTCATATATATTTCTATGTAAAACTTTGATTCCCCGTTGTGGCCCAGCCCTACCCCCAGGGGTCACGATTTGAATAATTTAGAATCTACACTACCCAAAGATGCTTCCACATAAGTTTCAGCTTCTCTGGCCCAGTGGTTCTTGAGAAGAAGATTTTCAAAGATTTTTCCTATATATTTCTATGTAAAATTTTGATTCCCAATTGTGGCCCCGCCCTACCCTCGGGGGTCATGATTTGTATAATTTAGAATTTACACTATCCCAGTATGCTTCCACATAAGTTTCAGCTTCTCTGGTCCAGTGGTTCTTGAGAAGAAGATTTTTTAATGACCCAACCCTATTTTTGTCTTTTCTTGATTACCTCCCCTTTTGAGGGGACTTGGCCCTTCATTTTAACAATTTAAATTCCTCTTCATCCAAGGATGCCTTGTACCAAGTTTGGTTAAAATTGGCCCAGTGGTTCTTGAGAAAAAGTCGAAAATGTGAAAAGTTTACAGACAGACAGACAGACGGACAGCTAGACGGACGGACGACGGACAAAATGAGATCAGAAAAGCTCACTAGAGCCTTCGACTCAGTTGAGCTAAAAACAGCTTTTTTGGAATGAGGACTAAAAAGAGTTCTTTATGGTATACACGTATAACTTATGAAACAGAGTAACAAAAAAAAAAATACATTACATATATAGTAATGTCCATAAAAGATGTATGGTTTAATTGCTTTATCGTCATATTTAGTAGTCCTGTCTAACTTTTTTAAACAGTGAGTTTTCCAACGGTTATATGTTTAATATTATATCTATTTTATGATGTTTTGTGTTGAACACAATCCTAAAAATCAATCATATTTTGTTTTATTACATATCGTTTGATTACATTTTGTGTTGTCCTCAACGCAAAAAATACAAAACATAACAGCAAAAAAGTATGTTATCTCACTTTGTATTAATCCCAACACAAAATGTAATAATGCAAAATGTAATAATCTATAAAATAATCTATAAATATTACATTTTGTCTGATTACATTCTGCATTGATCTAAACACAAAATGTAATAATGCTATTACTGTAACATTTTGTGTTGTTATTATATATTGCTTTCTGATCAAACAATGCACTATAATTTCATCCTGTAAAAGACAAGTATATAACATAAACATGAAACCACCAAAATGCTGTACAAACAATTTATCAAAAATCAACCCATAATTTTTTATGAAAAAGTCACTAAGAAAAATGCTTTGTTCATGTCTAAAGATTGACACTGAAATTAATCAGCATCAAAATCTTCCTCAATCTTCCAGTTTTTGCAACAAAAATTGTATTTACTCTACCTGAGGTCTTTCTTCAACAGTTCCTGTGAAGCAGAAACATCTTTAACAACCTTCCCATTCTCCTCAAGTTCTTTTATAATTTCTAAAATTTGGGTAAAAAGGAAGTTTTTAATGTATTGTTTTTAAGCACATCAGATCTGGTTATCATGAACTGATGGGACCGAGAATAAACCTCCAGATATCCATGAATTCGAGATATTGAGGTTAAAACACAAGATATTAAAGACACTGTGTTCCACTTAAAGAATTTATAGAGAGGAATGATTCATTTGTTGTCTCCATGCATGTTTGAAAAAGTAAAATATCTTAATATGTATACCTTCTGAGTCTACGAAATACTCTGTTGTGAAGGAATTCCAATGTTTTTTGTTCTTCAGACAGGGGCTGTCAAAATCTTGGCTGATCACATGTAAATGAAGCTGACTAAGACAAAAAAATATAATTCTAAAATCTCAAATTGAAAAAATCATGAAATTATTCAGCTATTCAGAAATAAGTTGATAAAACCATATTAATAATTTAAATTTAATAATTTACTCATGTCTATGGATTTTCTGGTTGCCTGATCCTGACAAGAATCACATGGCCTGTGTGACCTGTTTATAGGGAATCTTATCCCACCTCTACTATGTTTGTATTGTTTCAAAAGACTTTTGAGTTATATTACTCTTGGTTACATTTTATCTCTTTATTTGATACACAATGATATACTCAAGAATACACCCATATCTGAGCTGAAGAAGTCAACTTCTCTGGGATAGGAAATTCAGAAAGATATGTGTGCAGAATTGTTTCTGCATTAAAGAGTTTCAGTTTAGCTACTTAATTACTAAATAACTTACCTCATACTTGGCACAGAATGGTATCCCAAACGAAACTTCAAATTTGCATCTGACCTATGACCAATCAGTAGTTTAATATTAATGAAGTTAAGTATTCAAATGTCACATAAGTTCTACCCAGTTGTTCAGAAGACATTTTGTTTCAGTATCTATTTTATAAACAATGTGGTCTTAACTTCTTTTTCTGTTTATTATTGATAAATAAATTAAATTGCCATTATTGCAAATGCTGCTACCAAACATAAAC